ATTGATGGGTATCAATAGGGTAAGAAAGGAACCTGGATGTAGTTGGATTGATGTCAAAAATAAGACCTTTGTGTTTACAGTGCATGATAAATCACATTCTAGGATGGATGAAATTTATGAGATGTTGGAAAAAGTGGAGGAGTTAGTGAAGGATAAAGGATATGTGCCTCAAAAACAGTATGCTGTTAATAGTGCTGACGAGTATAAAGAACAGAGCTTGTGGTATCATAGTGAGAAAATAGCTTTTGCATTTGGGTTGCTGGCAGTCCCTGCTGGTGTTCCAATTAGGATAAAGAAAAATTTAAGGACTTGTGGTGATTGTCATATGGTTATGAAGTTTGCTTCAGAAGTTTTCAAGAGAGAGATTATCGTACGGGATATCAATCGGTTTCACCATTTCAGGAATGGTTTGTGTTCCTGCAGAGACTATTGGTGATTGGTCTTGAGTAAGTTTTGTAGTTAGAAACATGGCATTGTTTAGGGTATTGAAGAGATTTTGTGTCTTCTTTCCCTCTCTTCTTGCAAGGTATTGCCATGCAATTCCTTGGAATGAAATTAAACATTTTTCAGGTTAGTTTATGAAATTTTTTGTCCCCTTCATAAGCTGTCTACAATGATGTATATGATGGGAACCTGTACAAACTACAAACATAAAATAGCGAACCATCCTTAAACCATTTGTGCTATTTGCCTATCGCTGCTAGCTCCTAAAGTTAGGGAAATGCATCACGCAGCAACCTCATTCCAAATTTTAGTATCTTGTCCAGCTCTCTATTAGCTTCCATTTTGTTTTTGTGTTTTCATCAGGTCCTAAAAAATAATTAACCCTTGATTACCCTATGCAAAACTTGTGTTACATGAGCCGCTCCGTTCTCAAATGTTGTAGCATCAACCTAGATTTGCTCGAAACGAAAGACACCCTATATTTCTCTTCCCTTTCCTCATATGAGAGTCGCCTGAAAATGAGCAATTAAGTGTGCGCACAATGAAGTCAAGGACAGCCGGTGTTCAGCTTGCCTTGAGTTGTCTTAAATCTTGTTACCCGGATGTATTGGCTTAGATAAGTGCGTTGAGCAGGTTTTTCTTTTCAGTTTTTTTTAGATCAATTCATATACTTGGCAGCTTCTTTCACTGTCTGTGTCCAATTAGAGGAAAACAGTTTTCGAGAGGAGAATCATTTACAGTTCTTAGCATGACTATGTTTTACTTTTGGGAACTTATATATCTACTGCTGGTCGCTCGAGCTACAGTTAACCCCAACTACATCAGTCTGAACTTCCCCATTTGCCAAGTTCTAACTTTCAGAAAATCCACCACCCGTAGAAACCAGGACCACGCCCACCTAATAATCAGAAGAAGCAGCACGCAAGAGAAAAACCTCTGAACTAGCCTCGTGGTCATATATACATCAATACCATGCTAGGATACATACAGATTCAAAAAGAAAGAAAGAAAGAAACATACAGGATAATAGAATTCCAGATCATGTACAAACCAATATCATAGATGCATGATGGGAGGTTTGTACTTTGCAGCAACAGATCAGAGAACTTGAGGAGAGGGAGGAAAAGTAGGAAACGGATGGGATGGGTGGAGTAGGGAAGACAAACATCTCTTTCTTTCTTTGTTTCTTTTAACAGAAACATTGAAACAATCTTTCCAGTGTTTATCTTCCCCCTCCACCCACCCCATGAGCTTCCGATAATCCCAACTCCATCTCCATGTTCTCTCCACTTTCTCATCTACCAAGCGGCCACCACACATCTTATCTTGATTACACAAACATATATAGTGTGACAAAGTCTAAACCCTAAAGCACCTTTAGCTTGTTGGTCCCCGAAGGGAGAACCCATGGGACATTGCCCATTCATTTCTTGGTTTTCTTACCGGAATAAATAATGGGGCTTGATTGACAGTATTAGCCCAAAAGGGCAATATAGATTTTGGGCCTTAAAGAAGCCGAGAAGGAGGCTCTGCCTTTTTCCTATGTCTATGGTGAAAAAGGGGAGTGGTTCAGCACTTCTGTTATAGCTGAAGAACCAGCTTCAATTAGTCTGTTTCGCTCTGGGTTCTGATGGCTGCATTCTACTCTTTGTTGCATTTTTCTTGCTAGTAAAAAGGAAGAAAGACTTACGAGTACGATGTTGTAATCTTATGACAGATCAAGTTATATGGTCATGTCTGCAGATATCAAGTTGCATATCCGCCCAGTAAAATTACCCTAGAGTGGAAACAACTGCCTATTAATGGCAAACGTGCATCAGATTATACGCTTACCGACTACCAGATATGATTAATTAATTTGTCCCTGCCATCAAAAAAGAAGAAGAAAATGGATTTGTCCTTGACCGCTGCTGTTACATCATGCCATATCAAGTTGCATCTAGCTAGCTACAGCGTGTCCATCCGATAGCTGTTCAAGGATTAAGATTTGTCCTTGCTCAGAACACAAGAGGATAATCTCATACAAAATCCGGAATAGTTAACTGCTACTATACCCTTTTTGATTGGATATTGACACACACAGCTGCTATTATAAGTGATGATTTTGAGAAAGAAAATCCAAAAACATGGTCTTGATGCTGAAGTTTCACCAAATAAAAATGTACCTGGGTCGGGAAAAAAGTACACACAGCATTAGCAACAAGGAGAACATGACAGCGACTAAGCCAAATTAGTGTACCACCAGCCTTGGCGTGGCTGATGCTCTAGTTTTTAATCTGGCTGGGTATGGGCAAACCTGCCCAGAGAACGACCGCATGCATTAACACCTCATTTAGAGCCATAAACGTATAAACGTCTGTGCATTATATCTGCAGAAATCCATTCCTGAATCTCAATATTTCTTTAATTCTAACTTCATTTCTCCGGGCCGCGGTATCAATATCATCAATCAGAGCTTGGCCTGACGCATTCTTTACTTTTGCGCGTGCTTCTTGATATTTTTAATTTACTCACTTGACTTTGAGCATTGTTATTGTTGTTGTTATCACTGCTTTTAATATTTCTATATCATCCTGATTCCTGAGCGACAAAACATCATGGGCAAACCTGATATAATTCAATGAGGTGGTCCCTTCACAGGCTTGAAAAACGTTATATTTTAGTCACATAAAAACACAAACAAACACGCTATAGCACTAATAAATGATACTAGTATTTTCTTACTAAACATATAGACTACCACTGTAATTAATCAACAGCAAAAACACAGGCTCTGAATGGCAAATTTTAGCTTTGCAGAAACTCTGAATACTGATATCAGCGATTATATAGCAAATACTCATTTCAGGGTTGCACAAATTGAGGAGAAAAGATAAAAACAGGCTGCTTGGTGTTTTTATCACGAGATCATTATCTTCTCTCCAAAAAATTAATCTGATAAGATGAGCAGCGCGCAGGCTTAAAATCTCGACACTTCAAATTTAGATCACCTTGGCTTTATGCATCTGCTAACTCTTCTTGCCAAGCCAATAAAAGATTCACAGCGTCGAAAAAGTATCTGTGCATGTTACAATAGTGCATGGTCATTGGTCTGGTCATGTGATTGCAGGACGGCAGGGAGCCAGTGACAGTGACCTGCACAAGTTGTTAGAGCATGCATTGTGAGAGAGAGAGAGAAAGAGCATGATTCATACATACTTGGGTGAAATATAACGATGGGGCAGGCTCCGCAGCCATTATGACATTAAAATATATGATCTTTATCATCCAATGAAGGGTCATGTTCTTTTATCTAAATTATCCATTGATTTTCCCACAACTTTGTATCAGAAGCTCTGATGTTTCTTTTACACCTTACCTCAAAAATATTTTTCTGTCTCCGATGAATGTACTTGCGGTTTCCAGGTTATACCCACCTACATGCTTAGGCAAAATTATTTTCTAATTTGTTTTGTCCCAAGGCTTCATTAATTCCAATAGAATCACATGGTAAATTATTATTTTAGCTTCTTATCTACCATGGATTAATTATATCAGTGGTATTATTATTTTAATGGAAACATGATGCTATCATTTACGGTCAAAGAAGAATAGTATTTTATTGTCTGTCCCAAAGAGGCATTCTAAGTGCAACAGTAGTTGGGTATACAGATTTGCTCCAAGGAGCCTAATTAAGGACAAATTTAGCTAGAATTTTTCCGATGATACCTAATGTCATGAAACGCAAAAAACTAGCAAACGAATATAAATGGTCTACGGTAGAATTAGAAGTTTCTATTCTCGAATTTGTCAACATTATGTATGCACTTTAGTACAAGCTAGGCCAGAACCATTCTGATAGTCTGATACCATGCTATGCTAACAAGCAAAAGCTCAGATTGATTGTTTGATGTAGAGGCATGTGATGTACACGGGAGACTAAAGATGCAGGCAAAAGAATGAGTCATGGTTACCTTACAATACATGAGGATGAGATCCATGGACACAGGACAAAGGGTCACGTGAAATGAATATGTACACTTGAATTCCACACTCCTTTCTGTGAATATGATTTAAGGTCAATCTGAGCCTTTGAGGCCCTTAAGAATTATTTTCCCCAGAGCAAGAGCCAGAGACCAGGCAGACAGTAACAAACTACAAATAGAAAGCAGTAAACCACGTAATCGTTTTCCAGTTCCCTTCACTGAAAACAACGTTACCTGCATCTGTGCATGCACCTGGGGCTGGAAGGCTGAGAGCCAAGGGAGAAAGATGCCCCAAGAAACTGGGGGTCCACTTGGATAGTGCTATATCCCTTACTGGGTCGGCGAGGGTCCACGTGGACATTGCCCATTCTCTGTCCCTGGCCAGTGGGGTCCTCCTGCATCCTGCAAATCCCAATCTTCTGCCCCGCGGGGAACTGCACATGAAAAACTTTAATAATGTACTGGCACTGTTGATTATTAGCATGATATTGATGGCAAACGACCCTAGTTCTAAGTTCAACAAAGTCTCAACTCAACAACAGAAGCACAAAATAATAATATATATCCCCTCCTTTTAAGCATATCTAATCGAACATATACAATCTAATCTAAAAACTATTCATTCCTTTGATAAAAGGCAGACAGACATGAAACACCCAATAGCCACCAAATCTATATCTGTTTGGTGCACTAATTGATAGTAGTAGTATTTTTCTTACTATCTACTAAGCCTCAGGTTCTTAATTAATCTAATCACTCTGCTAACTCCTTCTTTTCTTAATACATTTCTGCCTTAGCGGGTCCCATTGGCCATTTCTAAGTATATGAAGTCAAAGATTTTGGTGTCCACTGGTTTAGCTTCTAATGAAATGCATTCAAATAAATGACAACTTCAACCTCAATTGTCATGTTATGTTATATCATCATTCATCAGGACAACCAGGATATTTTCGGTTACCTTGATCAACGGGAGGCGGAATTGGAAGTTGAGATGATCTCTTTGGAAAGTAATCATGCCTTTCGATTGAGTTAGTCTATTTGGACATACTCCCTTTGGACTTTTGTGAAAATCTGTGATACGATAAAGTTTTAACTAAAACTTTAAAATAGCCATTTCACTGACTAGTTAATTATTTTCATCCACAATCGAATTGGAAATAGTTGATGGAAAAAGAAAGGAAAACAGTGACAGAATGGACCACTTGTTTGCAGAGTTAATGTCTATCATCCTCGTCCAGGGTGTTAAAGTCTCTCCAAGAATGAAGGGGAAGAAGATTTTTAAAAACCCCATCACAAGCAAAGTCAATAACTTTATTAATCCCTTCCTCAAACCTTAATTAATTGTAAAAACAGAAAAAAGGGGGACAAACATCCTCAAAACAAATTGTAATGGCCTAGAGTCTAGATATGATGGTGTTGTATTCCATTATGAAAACAAACATAAAAGGCCACAACCACCCAATTTCATTGGATAATATATACCAGTATAATATAGCAAGGACAATATCAAAGTATCCAAATACAAGGAATACGGACACAGCATCTGTTCTTGATCATTTCTAGTGGCAAAAAACTTTGATTATCAAAGTAAAGTTTTGAGTGATGTTGTAAACTTTTAACTACTCAGAAAGCGTGTCGAGCAACCGTTGAATTAGAATCAAAGGAGTCGTGGTGGGTTCACATAGCAAACTATAAAGAAAGGCCCTTCTTTGGAAAAAGAAGAAAAAAAAAGGGGGGCCTAAGATTATTACTAGTTACAGGGTGAAAACTGTAAATTTAAAAAAAAA